GAGAGAAGCATTGATCAGTTGCTTCCTGCATGCCCTCCACTGGGGATCGAGCCTGCAACCCAGGTATGTGCCTGACTGGGAACTGAATTGTGACCGCCTGGTTCATAACAACACTCAACCCTGAGCCACGCCAGCTGGGCTTGAACAATTTTTGTAACTTTCCTGTAATTCTGAAATTATTTCCCAATAAAAATTTGGTTTTTTGTTTTTTGTGCAGTTTTTCTTTTAAACTAAAAAAAGAGCAATCTTTTGGATGTCTTCCTAAGTTACCGCACAACATGAAAAATTCAGTCACCTGAAACTCACATGTCCCATTTCAAAGTCCCACGGCTGTGAAAGTCTCAAGAGCCTAGGTCAGCGGTTCTCAACCTGTGGGTCGCGACCCCTTTGGCGGTCGAACGACCCTTTCACAGGGGTTGCCTAAGACCGTCCTGCATATCAGATATTTACATGACGATTCATAACGGTAGCAACATGACAGTTATGAAGTAGCAACGAAAATAATTTTATGGTTGGGTCACAACCTGAGGAACTGTATTGAAAGGGCCAGAAGGTTGAGAACCACTGGCCTAGGTACATGGTGACCCGGGATAGCGGAGGTAGGGCGTACGGGATGATGCAAATACGGGGCTCTGACGTGTAAGCCGGGGAGCTGGGAGCCCATCTACGTTGAGTTCACGATGTAGGACCCTGGAACCTGCACGTCACACCCTTCGCACAAGCAGGACACGGCTGCCTTTACCTGGGTAGCAACAGTTGAGCCTCTTCTGAGCAGGTGGGGCCGACGGCTTTTTGGCACGTGACTTGGCGGGCAGAGAGATGACAGTGGCCGTCTGGTTTTCGTTGCTTTCCGTGGGCAGATACGTCTGGTAGCCATGCTCAAACACAAATTCTGGAGCGGAAACTGAAAGACAGGGTGGTTATTAATTTTCATAATATGAATACCCAACAGCTCTCCCTTTGGCGGGCCTGCCTCTCTAGAGCGTGAACATGTTGGGTTGCTTTCCCAGCCTCCCTAGCTGCTTGGTAGTGATCACACGGCCCTGTTCCAGCCAGTGGAACATGGGACATACACGCTGAGGGTTAAGGAAAGATTTCCTCCCGGATTCCGAACAAACAAACGAGTGGGGGAAGAGAGACAGTGGAGGAATGCTCACTCCTGCTGCCCTGGTCACCCCACTTCCTGTCTTTGGACATGCGGGAGTGACGATGTGATGCCCGGATCTGTGGCAGCCATTCTGTAAGCACAAGGGAACAGCAAGAAAATCAGATGTTGGGCCAGAGTTCTGAAACCATCCAAACCTAGGCTTCCTTCATAAACAAGAAACGTCCCCACCGTTTACACCAGGTAGGTTTTCTGTTAATTCAGGCAAAGGCTTTAGGTACTTTCTTTTTTTGGTTGTTTGTTAATATCTGTGGCAGCCATTCTGTAAGCACAAGGGAACAGCAAGAAAATCAGATGTTGGGCCAGAGTTCTGAAACCATCCAAACCTAGGCTTCCTTCATAAACAAGAAACGTCCCCACCGTTTACACCAGGTAGGTTTTCTGTTAATTCAGGCAAAGGCTTTAGGTACCTTCTTTTTTTGGTTATTTGTTAATCCTCACCAGAGGATATTTCTTCCATTGATTTTTAGAGTGGAAGGGAGGCAGGGGGAGTAGGAGTGGGGAGAAGGTGGAGGGAGGACATTGATGTGAGAGAGACACATCAACTGGCTGCCTCCTGCACACAACCCAACTGGGGCCGGGGACGGAACCTGCAGCCCAGATATGTGACCTGGAATCAAACCCGAGACCCTTTGTTGTGCGGGCCGACGCTCTAACCACTGAGCAACTCCGCCCAGGGTTTTACCACAAAAATCCTAACAAACTGGAAAGAAACTGATTGAAGAAATCCTGGGTAAAACTACAAGTTCTCCCAAAACCACTCTTTAACACAAGTCCTCCTAAAAAAAGGAATTCTTGTACTCTCACTGAAGTTTTGAGGGAAAATGAAAAAAGGGGACGACACATATTTATCATTATACGAGATAAAAAAAGGTAGTCTCAAACTTCTTTATTTAAATAGACAGACTTCACATCATTACCTAGTTGGGCTGTGGCTGAAGCAGCAACATCTCTGCCACGGGTTTGAGGTGCTATTGTTTTCTCTTAACAAACATCTTCATTCTCTGAATGTAAGACGTTATAGATTGTAGGATGTACCGTTACTTTGTGTATAACAGATTTTAAAAAGCTGCCAATTAAACACCTAACGATGCAGTGCTTTCATATTCCTCATTTTGTATCTAGTACTGATATTCCCTAGAAATTTCGCACATGTGGCATGGGTCCTTTTAGAACTCTTTGGCTGTGTGGACCTCCACCTCCCGGACACCGAGGCAAGAATGACAACATCATCCTGATGCATGTCAAGGAACACCTGGTTCCACCAGCATCTGCTGTCTGAGTAACCCCATGGCTTCCATCGTCTTCTGCCGGGGTTCTTGTCCCAGCATCAAGAAGGGTTCAGGAAATCTGGAGAAGGCTGTGCGTAGGTTAAATAGGAGTCCAGAGACGAAAGATAATTTTGAAAGGCATTGGGGGTCAGAGGAGCTTTAGCTACAGGAACTAAGTTTTCCTTGTCTCAGGACCCCATGCTTTTTATTAATACAATTTGTCCTGAGGCGAGGCAGAGATATACACTTCAAAGGGTCAGGTTTTCGTATACAGAGTCATTGTCAGAATGAATTAGCCTAGGGCTGTTCAGGTGTTTGGCCAGTAGGAGGCAATAACATGTAGATTAAGATGCCCTCTAGCTGTCTGGCAGCCAAAAATCAATTTAATGTATCCTATTCAGG